CGCTGCAGCCCCTTGGCACCAGCCAGGCGGCTGAACAACTTGCCGCAGGGGTCCCGGCGCGAGGCGAGCAGGGCCGGCAGCACACTCCGTCCCCAGACATCCAGAGCCGGGACAGCAGCGGAGCTGCAGGCAGCTGCAGAACAAACTAACCCTGTGATACAGCCTCGCGGGCACCTCGGATGGGCTCCCCAGCCTTTAACAGCAATGTCCCCCCAAGTTCTTCCCTTGTGGTAGGCGAGGACTGAAAACAGCATCCATGGATGCGGCCGTGACAATCCTCCAGCAGCACAACCCTCAACCTGCCCTTTGGACACCCATAGTGCCTCTGCTTTACCCACTTCTCAGCGATGCTGTAGCTCTTCCACCAGCCCCGCTTCTCCACCCAGCGGCGTCTTCCCAGGCGGCTCCACACCAAAGGCTTTAGGATGCTCTGTGGCATCAACCGTCCCAGTGCCTGAACCTGGTGGGATGCAGCACCCAGGACCTTCTGCGTGGAAGCAGGGTGCCTGGTGGACACACACCCAGAGCTTTCCTGGCAGGCTGATGTCGGACACTACCAGGAGGAAGGAGATGAGGTGATGTGATCATGCAGCCTTGCGTGCGCAGACCTTCCTGGCTTTGAAATCCAAGGAGCTGCCATCCAATCGCTGGCTGGCAGGGTGAGCCATGAGCTCCTGCAGGAACTGCCCGGCTCCCAGGAAGGGCTGGTGCTGGCACTGCCGCTACCTGCTTGCTGCCCCAAAGATGCCCCGGGCAAGCGGCCCGCGAGCGATGAGCAGGTGGGAGAAGAGCCCATCTCTTCATCCCAAATCAGCTCTAAAGCCCCAGCTCTAAAGCTGCGGCAGCTCCTCAGGGATGAGGGCAAGTGGGAATACCTCCTGCCAGCTGGAGGACGGCTACATCTCAGGTGTGACAGTGCCTCAGGGCTCTCTCCCCACGGCCAGATCCACGGGAGGAGTGGTACTGTCCCCATATCCCACTGCAGGGACTCTTCCTGCAGGGAAGCACGTAGCCATCCCATTGCATCAGCTGCAAGGAACAGCATAGCTGAGCCGGTGCAAGGAGCCTGGGCAGCGTCTGCCTGCTCCCCCTGCCCTTCCAGCCGCCCCTCTCCCCAGACCCAGGCACCGGCCGGGAGGAAACATCCCCCAAGGCAGCCCCTCGGTATGAAGCCCTGCGAGGACGAAACAAACCACCCGCATGATCCCCGACCGTAACGCAGAGAGGAGGATGGAGAGCTGGTCTGTGCCACGCGGTGCACCAGACAAGGGCAGTGACATGCTGAGGGTGACCTCGTCCATCAGAAACACCAGGCTGGCCTCGCGGGGGGTGCAGATGCAGCACAGAGACCCCAGGAGCCAGTGGGAAATGCCCCCCAGCCAGGCAGCCGGGTCCACGAGGCCAATCCTGCTGCTGGTCCCTTATGGCACGGCCGGGCTGGGGTCCACTCTCCGGGTCCGGGTGGCCGCGGTGCTTCAGCTCACCATCCTCTTCCTCTCCGTGGCAGGGACAGCGTGTGTCTGTCTGTCTATCCATGGTTTCAGCCGGTCCACTGTCCACTCTCCGGGTCCGGGTGGCCGCGGTGCTTCATCTCTCTTCCTCTCCGTGGCAGGGACAGCGTGTGTCTGTCTGTCTATCCATGGTTTCGCCTTTAGTAGGTAGCCACAGCCCTGGGCGGCTGTGGGAAGCTGGTGTTTAGGCGGCCTGGCCGGGCGGCAGGCGTTTGCTGTCCAGAATGGCCTTCCAGTCATCGGTCCAAGACTGCAGCCTACGGCTGGGGGGCTTCAGCTGTAGGTGCTTGTTGTGGCAGGCCGTGAAAAGCACGTGCTCCCAGCTGGGGTTCAGCTCGGCCCCTGCAAAGTAAGGAGGTCAGCTCTCTGGACAACTCCTCCGCGAGACGCAGAGGTTGACCTTACTCCAACAGGAGGAGCCTGTGGACACAAACCCCTAACGAGAGCCTAATCAAGTGGGGAGGGACCAGCACCCATCACCCCCGGATGCCGTCTGCCCCTCAGGGCTGCCTCCGGTCACTCCTGCTACCCCACACCTCTCTTACCTGTTATATCAGGTCTGTCGTCTATAAGCAGGTCAGCAGAAACCACCGTCTTATCTCGCGTCAAAACAATCCGCTCGAGAAACTCGGGGCCGAAGTGCTTCTCCACCCAGGCGTACTGGAAGGCGAGGGGTGAGTGGTGAGCACGGGAAGGCTGATGGACGGGGCAGGGGCTGCTCGGCGGGGTGGCAGCAGTGCCCGACAGGAGCC